GGGAGAGGGAGGTTTTAGCAAAGTGTTGAAGCAGGAAAACAAATGCTGTGGGTGTTCAGTTCAGCTTCCCCCCCCGCAGATACCAAAAAATGCAGATGGTCATGCCCCATATGATTCAATGGTGGTGATGTGTTCACAGATGCATCATGTACTGACATTGAATAATATAGGTCATGGAGATCTATGGGCAGTCTGATCTGCAGATTGTCAGCACGAAGATACAAAAGGTCCATAGGATTATCTTTCTGGATCAGTACAAACTATTTAATTTATCTTTTCCTAATAACAATGGCCAACCAGATTTTTTAGAAAGTTCACAAGCTGAACATGAACCCAGGTCCCTTTCCTAGTTATATAACCTCTGCACTAGGTGCTCAAAAGAGATGGCGGGTGCATCTGAATATATCAATAAGCCAAAGTCCTGTGGCAATTTGCCATCTCTAGCAGCAAGTTCTAATGGTGAGGAGCAAAGGCAACATCTTACATAATCAGTGGCGTCTCCACCCCTGGTGTCACTCAGTGCAGGGGGGCTGCCGGGGGTGGTGGTGGCTGTGGCCAAAAGGGCCTCTTGAGGAGACTACCACTGCCATGACAATGCCAGAAGAGGTATGCTCAGCCTCCTCCTTCGCTGCCACAACAGACATCACCTCCTGAGACCTCCACTGCTATGGTGAAACCAGGAGGAGTGTGCTCACTCTTTCTTACCTCAGAGTGGGAAGAGGGCCCAACTGGGTGTCACCCCTCTTCTGGGGTTCGACCCACACTCCACACACACCCGTAGTGACACCACTGCACATAACAGAGCTGTCTGGCCCAGAGAGCTTGTCCTGAAGTCCCTAAACTAACTTGGTGACTTCAGGATGGCTGCCCTGTCACCAGTGTCAAAGCAAAATTCAACAACCAACCCAGGTGACTTCTGTATGAAGAATTAAAGATGGGGAGCCATCTTGTCCTTTGCTTCAAAAAGACATTGTCTTAGTCTGACTTGCCTTTTTCTGGAAACA